CCAATCATTTGTCCTAGTAGAACAGAGTTAAGATAGCACCAAGCATGTGTGCCTGTCTGCCTGATTGTCCTGCTTCTGGAGCACCACATCAAAGACAGACTTAGCCAGTTGATTCGCACACACTTATAATTCCAGCTACTCAGGATACTGAGGCAGGCAGATCATCAGGCGGGCTGATTCAAGGTCAGCCTGGGAAATTAGCAAGGCTGTGTCTCAAAATAAAAGGGGCTGGAGGTAGGGATGTATTTCAGTAATAGAGCACTCACCTAGCATTTGCAAAGCCCTGAGTTTGATACCTAATACTAACTGGGATGGGGTGACAAGTTATATATAGAATACTTGTGTCATTTTCTATCAAATCAGGATACTTGTGAAAGGGAAAGGGTGTGATGTTGATAATTACAGTAGGACAAAATTGGTACCTGTGGTTACCCTATCTACAACCAAAACTCAAAGCTCAATAAGGAGGGCAATGCCCTTGGTGTTAGTGATAGGAATGCTAGAGAGAGAGAGAGAGAGAAAGAGAGAGAGAGAGAGAGAGAGAGAGAGACAGACAGAGAGAGAGAGAGAGAGAGACAGAGAGACAGAGACAGAAAAACAGATGGAGACAGAGAGACAGAGAGATAAAGGCAGAGAGAAAGAGAGAAACAGAGACAGAGAAAGTTGAAGTGTATATTAGTTTTGGATGGGTAACAAATTACTTCCCAAATTAGTGACTTAAAACAACTGCATTCATTATTGCACAGTTTTCTGGGTCAGAAATTTGAAAGTATCTTAGCTGGATGCTTCACCTCAGGGTCTTGTCCAGAGCTGCAGATGTCTGAGTACTTCACCACTGCTGGAAGTTCCAGTTCCAAGACAGCTCACAAGGTTCTTGGTGGAAGAGAACTCAGTGCTTTCCTATGGGGCTGCTAGAGGATCCTGGTAGCTATCTTCCCTCAGGGTAAATGACTCTGATATCCAGGAGGAAGTTGAATGCCCATCACAAATACATGTGACACTAAGACCAACCCATGCTAAAATGGAAGGAGATCAAAATCCATTTCTTTCAATGAAGGATTCTCCTCCAAGTTTGATCATTGTTGTTGTATCTGCTTTTGACCTGCCCTGTTGACTGTTCTCTGAGTACTGCCATTGCCAGGTGAGAGAGGAAAGAGATGACGTGTAGCCAGGAAGGGTACCCCAATACTGGTGCTCCTTTGGGTGCTGTTAGTCTCTTGGGGCATCCAGAGAGCTGCTGAATTCCCATTACAAATATGTAGCTAAATGTGGTAGGGTATACTCCACTGACTTTGGGATCTACCTGGGGGATTGGCAGAACACACTTCTGGATGTCTGGGTGGGCCATGGAGGAATGACCTTGGAAACTATATACTGTTCCTGACTCTTTCCTCTTTGGCACTTTTCCTCTGCTCTGCTGTCTGGCTGCCATGAACTAAGTATCTTTGCTACTTCATGTCCTTCAGTCATGGTGTTAGAGCCAGCAGACTATGCACTGCATTCCCTGAACTGCAAACCAAACTAAGTCTTCCCTCCTTTAAACGGTAGATGTTTAGCATTATGTCCCAGCTCTGGGAAAGTAGACTGATATGGGGGGAAGGTAAAAGGCCAATTGGCAGATGACGTAAGTATACATGGAGTGTCTTTTCCTATCCCTTCTGACCAGAGCTTCCATGAATGTGCCGTCCCAACCCCACTACTCTTTTATGCCATTAAGACAGCCTACTTATGTCCTGATTCTGTGTGAAAGTAGATTATAGAAGTCTGAATCTGCCCAAAAGAGGTTTCACTGGGAGCAGATGTATGAGGAATTAAAAGCATGGATTCTTGAAGAGAGAAAATCTACAAAAAGAAAATGGACTGGGAGTTATTAGAGGACAAGAGAAGCAGGCAGTTCAATCTCCCCAAGAGATGGAATTAAAAAAGATTTCCAAGAAACTTAATCATAAGGTGATGGTGTTCATTTACTTTTGCAGTAGGCCTTGGGAACTGTGCTGGGAGAGGTAAAGGCTGTTCTGTGCACTTGGTCTCAAGTTCCATCGACAGGTCAACTGCAAGGAGGCCAGACTTTTGCTCTGCTCACATTCGTACTGGCTGCCTGTAAAAGCCTGGTGTAGGAAAATTTGCCTTCGTTTTTCATGTGCTTGTACTCAAACAGGATTGAGCTAAATGTGAGCTTGGGTAAGAAATAAGTGCCCTGTTCATTGTGAAGACCGTTAGACAAAAATAGCCCACCGGAAATGGTATTGCAAAGGTCAATTCTTCTAGAAAGGAAGGGACAACAAGCCATCTATCTGAAATTTTAATGAGCAGATTCTGGCCTCTGACCCCACACCATTACCTAACAATCCAGTATTGAACGAGAAGTCAGCTTCCATTTCCTGTGAGTGAGGAGGCAGAGTTCCCATCCAAAGACAGACCATCTGCCGGACACAAGCTTTACTCTTTGCCTAGCTGGCTGCTGTTGACGTGTTTGATGTCTTTATGGACAGAGGGTCAGTGCAGGATCCTTCCTTTGCAGAGATGGTGAATTAGAGGGTTTAGAAACTATAGCTCGTGGCTGGGATTTTCTTTTCTTCTTTTTTCCCCTTGCAATGGCTGTTTTGTTTAATTCTGTCAAGGTGGACAGTGTTAGAGGCAATTTTAACCTTTTGAAGAAAACATTATAACTTCTATTTTTTTTTAAATCAAACCTTCTTAGTAAAGAACAATGAGTAAATATCAAGGAAGAAAAAGAAATGGATAATTAAAAAGTTTGTAAGGTCCCCAGCCTCGTGCATAGCATATAGAAGGTCTATTATGAGTAAACCATTTACCTCATCACAGTAATTCAAGAGACCACAAACTGCGCTCATCTGAAAGGAAGCTTGTCCTGTTGATTTTAGAGGAAACAATTGTTCACTTTTTGCTCCATGTTTCTGAAGTTCTGTGAAGCAACAGAACACCCAACTGCTAGACCCATCCCTGCCAGATCTTCCTAGTCAGAACTCAGATGCTAGGGATCTGAATCCTAACAAATGTTCAAGGGAGCAGGAGGATGGGATGGCAAATTTCTCCAGTGTCCATCATCTGCTTGGAGGTTTATATTTTACTTCTACTTAACAGAAGTAAGAGATGGAGAGTAGGGAGGAGGGAGGACATAAAAAGAATGAAGATGTGCATGTACCAACTTCCTATGAAGCATGTAATCATTATGTACTGTGAACATGTACTAAGAAAAGTAAATTTTTAAAAAAGACATAGGCTATACCTGGAACAGATCTGAGTTCAGATCACCTCTGCTCTGTGGCCCTTGGAAACCCCACGACCTCCTTATTCTGCCACTTTCTCATCTGTGTCCTCTGGACTTTAATATGAAATAATGCAGGCAAAGCACTCTGGCACAACAGATCATACATAGTAGCAAGGAATAATGTAATAGTTAACAAATGACCTTATTATTAAGTAGGTTAAGTAAGCAAGTCAAACAATAATGGTGATTAATTGGCTTGTCCTCCAAGATGGAAAAGACTTTTTAGTGTGGCTTCTCAATTCCCTCACATAGCATTGGTAATTCAGATTGAATGAATGAACCAGTGAATGAACACAAGCAAGACGTGCAGAGTTGGTTGGTGGTAGGGCTGGATCTCAGTGGGTGACTGACCTTAGACTGAGTGCCCAGAGGAGGGTCTGTTTCTGGGAAGGGACTGTTTTTCGCTAGTCCTGCCCCTCATTAGGAAGACTGACCTGGTTTGAGGGAACACTACAAATACAAAAGCTACTCACCAGCTGGAAAAGAAAAAAAAGGAGCACCCCCAAATGCTGGCTACCACGGTGGCTCTTAGGAGGCTGACAGAAATCTCTGGGAGGTCTCAGGACCAGAGTGGAATTTCTGTGGGTGGCTGTGGGCTCTGGCTGCATTAGAATCACCTGGGGATTCCAAACCCGTTCCAAGTGCCACCGATCATAGAACTTTTTGAGTCTGGCATTATCTGTAACCCTTATTTTCTATTCTTTTCCACTTCCAGGTCCCAGAAGGCAACAAGCCCTGTGACAAAAAGTGACACTGAGGCTCAGGAGAAGGCAGAAGGGGTGGAATAAATTACCAGGCAAAGTCACCTGTTTCGGTGCCTGTACTGCTGTTGCTCCAACAGTTGGTGCTGAGGCTGGCCCCATGGGCCAGGGGCCTGCCTCACTGGAAGACACAGGAGGGAGCCTGGAAATTGGGGTTTCCAACAAGCCAACCCAGATACTTCAGGAACGTTTGGGAAACCTTACCACACAGTCTTTTCTGTGTCCAGGTCCTGGAAAAGAAAAATGAACTACAACACACCAAAGACATTGTGCCCAGGTGCCTGGGGCCTGCCACTTGAAGCTTACTCCTTAGGTGCAGGATACCCATTCCGGCTTAGAGCTGGGCCCAGGGAGTCTGCAGCAGCCCCACTGCCTTTCCGACTTGCTACTTGAGTCCCGCCGGTTAAGCGAGCCGGCAGCGAGCAGCCGAGTCATCATTTCCAGGCTCAGCCTGGAAAGCTGGACAGTGTGGCCGCGTGTGCTCTTGGCAGCCGGGGCCCGGGGCCCAGCGGCCACATCATCCTGGGGCGGGGAGGTGTGCGCTCCGGACGCCCCGCCGCCAGCAAGCCACGTCTGTGTTGCGGGCCGGCGCGGCCCGGGGAGCGCCCCCCACCGAGCTGCCCCGGGGTGGGCGAGTGGCAGCACTGGGCGGGACCCTGCGGGCCGGGACCCGCAGCGGTCTCTAGGACCCGCGGGACGCCTCCGGGGGGCGGGGGTACGGGAGACGATAATTTGTTCCGTGGTCATGAAAACGGCGACTGTTGGCCGTGGATCCATTTCACAGGCCCGCCTGCTCACACTAACGATCTTCCTCGTCCCCGGGCCAACTCGGACAGTTTGGTCCTTTATTGCAACGGTCAAGGCTGGCTCGTGCCAGAACAGCGCGCGCGCGCACTCACACCCCCGGGGTGGGTGGGTGGGGGATTTTTTTTAAATGAAAGGCTAGACTCGAGCTCAACAGCGGGGAGCTGCGCAAGGGGGTCGGAGCTGACTCGCTGCAGCAGGAAATCCCTCCGGTCGCCGCGACGCCCAGCCCCGGCTCGGCGCCCGCGTGGGATGGTGCAGCGCTCGCCGCTGGCCCCGAGAGCTGCTGCACCGAAGGCCGGCGACCATGGCAGCGCGCCCGCCGCCCGCGTCCCCCGCCCGCGCCCTCCTGCTCGCCCTGGCCGGGGCTCTGCTAGCGTCCCGCGCGGCCCGAGGTAAGTCACCGGACTTGGCAACCGCCCCGCGCCCGGGGTGCCTCGCGCTGCGCGGAGCTGCTGTGCCAGGGTTGCCCCGTTACGCGGTGCACAAGGCGCGTCGCGGAGCCTCCGGGCTAGAGCTGCCTGAGCAGCGAGAAGGATCCGCTTCCAGGTGCCAGCTCCGGGGGAAGGGGACCCCTTAGCTCGGGACCCTGAAGCAGCCAGCGCCTGGCAAGGAGGGAACAGCTTCGGGGCTACTCCCTTGCCCTGCCTCCTTGGGTTGGCTTTGCTGAAGTGTCTCTCAGTGTCTTGACAGTTACACGTGTTGCCCGGAATGGTGCGTGTGGATTCTGTACTGTAGCGAATCCCTATCGTAGCCTCTCGCCAACCCTCCACTAGGGTTTCTTTCCATCCCCTGCGTCCGGCTGATGCACTTGGGGGACGCGCAGTGGCCACGCAGGGAGCTGGTCCTCCCCGCAGGTGTGCTCGCTGTGCGCCAGGCGATCTCGCTCTAGCTTTTTTTTTTTTTTTAACTGTTTTACCTAGTTCAGCACCACCTCCTTTTCAGACCACTACCTAATTGTCAGTAACTTCCAAACTTTAGCAGAATTCTCTTGACCCTCGACATGCAGATTCTTGGAGGTAAATAATCACTATATCAACTGTCCTGTAAAGCAAGGACTCATTTCGGAGTAAAACTAAAGTGCGTTATTACAGCTTTTTTAAAAAAAAATATCGATTTAAGCGTTTTCCCGAGCCGAATTCCCTTAAAATCAGACACTTGTGGATTCCGTTCGCTTAATAAGGACTCACCCAGCAGGTGCCTTTTTAAAAATTCTGCTTTCCCTTGGTTGTGGCCTCTCCGCCTCCTTTCTGCCGACAGGGGCGCTATTGGCCCAGCAATGAAAGATTTACTTGGCCTCAAACTATATTTCTCTAATTCTATATAACAATCATTTATTTTGTAACAGTTCCCCTCAATGTCTAATCGTTACCAGTTTATGGTAGTTTTTATTTTGCAGTTTCTACTGATACTCCCCAGCATGTCTACCACAATGTGCCTATATTCCAGTTCTTGTTAAAATCCACACAGTAATAAAGAACGTGGGGATTAATAATTAAGTAGATGATGCACAAAGCAAGGAAAAATCAATGAGAAAACCTAGAAAGAGTATTAATGTTTAAAGAGATCTATGAGCTGAAAATGAAAAGTCAAAAATGTTTTGAAAGACTTTTGTACAAATCCATCCTTGTTAAATGTTTTTACAAATGAACTTTTAAAAATGGAAGTTTCAAAGTGCACCTGAGGTGCTCGTTAATTTGGCACGTACTTCAAACACATAAAGTCTTTTAAGTTAGGAAAAATAAAGGTCATGGGAAATTAATTCATAGGTGGATTTTATTTTATGACCACAATTTGGTAGACAGAGTTTTTCCTTAGGATAGATATGAGCCCAGACAGAAAGCTTGTTCGGACTAAACACTTTGAATGGCTTACATATTGTGACATTCCAAGGTGCATTGAATGTGTATCCTTGGATTTTCAGTTCTTACCTATTGTCCCAAATCATACCATTGAGGTAGTTTAGAAATCCAAACTCATAAGGAAACATTTCTTCAGGTTGGCAAGGGAAAAGGAGGAATTGCTACTAGACAAATGTTTGTTTCTAGCTTAGTATGTTACATTGTGTGTGAACAGTTAACCACTTGGAACCTTCTGTAGCAACTCAGTCCTAACATGTCCAAAACAGAACCTGGGATCCCAAACCTTCCACTCCCAAATAATTCTTACCTAGTCTTTTCCAGTTCAGTGCTCGCTTATCGTCTCCAGATGCCTCATGTAACACTGGGAAGTCAGCTTTGAGTCCCTCCTTCCACTACCCATATTTTCGTTTAACCATATTCTCCCATCTCCAAGTGCACTTTCTGAATCCAGACCGCTTTTTTAAAAACCCTGAAGGCAAAAAATTCATTTCTAGTATAGTGGCCTCCCAACTAGTCTATGAGCTTTTCTCCACATCTCTGCATTCTCCTTAGCATTATAGGCAAAATCGTTCTTTCCAGTCATGAAATAGATCATGCAGATTTTCATTTAAGACTGTTATAAAGCTTTGTACTGCTCTTAGGGAAGAAAATTCAAACCTCTTTTGACTTACTGTTTTCCATTTTCCTCTCTAATGTCCTTACTGTTCTTTACCTTGTTTACTAGAGACACTAACTTCTTTCTAACTTCTCAATAGAGTATTGCCATAATAGTAAAAAACCCCAAAACAACAACATTCTGTTTTCACCATGAAGACTTTGCAAGGATTTTTCACAGATGAGCCACTCAGTGTTTTATGATTCTATTTTGTAACTTTTAATTTTTCTAGAGTTAATAGCTCCCTTTATTTTGACTGTTCACTTTGATTTTGTATACTAAACTGTGATATAATAAGCAACTATTATATACTGAACTGTTATAAGGACTGTATATTTGACCTCTTTCTCTGGTTCCTTGTATACAGCCGCTCAAATCCTTGGAATCTTCAGAGTGATGAGGGACTTTTGCATACTAATGAAATCACATAGTTTAAGGATGGGAACTGGTGATCAGAAAGATTAGAGGGTTGAGGCTGCTTGTCCTACCACCTCAACCTCCAGGCAGGGGAAAAGAGCTAAAAGTTAGACTAATCATTGATCACTGATCGTAGGTAATCAGTCATACCTATGCAATGTAGCCTCCATAAAAATTTAAAAAGCTGGAGCTCCAGAGTTTTCAGATTGCTGAATATGTAAAAGTCAGTTGGGGGTAGTACACCCCGAGAGGGCATGGAAGCTTCACACCCCTTCTTATATTTTTTTGCGCTCTGTGCCTCTTCCATTTGGATGGTCACCTGCATCTCTTTTTGTGCTTTTTTATTAGTATAATACACCAGCAAACGTAAGTGTTTTCCTGAGTTTTGTGAGCGGTTCTAGCAAATTAATTTGATCTGAGGAAGGCGTTATGGAAACCCTGATTTATATCCAGGGTGTCAGAAGTGTTACCTACACAGGTAGTGAACAATCACTTGTAATGGCAAGTGGTTTCTGCTGAGGAAGGCTGTAGTTCAGGAGGCATGAGGGCTGCAACTGGAAATGCCATAAAGAAGGGGCCACTCAAGCCCTTCGAAACTCACATCTAACAACAACCAGATATTGTCCAGATATTGGACAGGGAGCTGTAGGCATTGATTTTTGCCTTACTGGATTTGTGTTGCTTTGGTCCAATTTTTGGTTATCCCTCATATTGCCTCCTCTGGGAATGGGAATGTTTACCTACTACCATTGTGCTTTGGAATTATGTAACTTGATTTTGATTTCTATAGAGACTCAAAGCTAAGAATTTGTCTTGAGTCTCTGAAAAGACTTTGATTTGGACTTTTGAACAATGCTGGCACTGTTGAGACTTCAGGGAAAGGACATTTTTTTTCTTACATGATAGGCAGTAATGATGCAAGCAGTGTAGTAACCAATTTTATTGGTATAAAGTCAGTGATATGAGGCTGGGGATTTAGCTCAGCGTCGTAAATGCCTGCCTGGCAAGCATGAGGTCATGAGTTTGATCCCCAGTACCAAAAAAAAAAAAAAAGTCAGTGATGTAATCAGGGATACAGTGCTTTCTTTTGTTGGAATCTGATGTGTTTAAATATTGAGTCTTGCATTTAATCTTACTGCCTTATAGCCTCATGATAGTTTCTGCACTTGTTGGTATCATATCTGCATCCTTGGTAAAAATAGGCCATAAAAAGCAAAAGGCATAGCTAGCCAATTCCATTTTTATTAGGAAAATAATATTTTCATAAGTCTTTTAATGACTTTCTCATAGATCTCATTGGGTAGACTTTGACACAGGGCCACTGTTACCTGCACAGGAAATAAAAAAGTAAATATTTGTAACTATACATATATAACTGGTAATTCAAATAAAATAGACTTCTGTAATAAAGATGGTTGAATTGTGCATCTGCCCCGCACTTCATCCTTGATTGCAAGTTTGTTTAGTGTTATGGTTTGTGTCTAGATGTCTCCCCAAAGCCTCAAGCAACCATGGGGATTTTTCAGTGGTGGCTGAATCTAGAGAATGTGATGCTGTGATTGAGGGTTTGTGATTAGTAAATAACTCCAGTAATTGCTTTGCATAATCCTGGCTAGAATTAAGGGTATGAGTGCTACACCCACCCTAATGCAGGTAGCCTGCATACAATATAAGGGACAGAAAGATTCTTGTATCACCCCCACCCCATCTTGTTACTTTTGCTGTCTTCTGTCTGCCATGAACTTTTTACTGCAAAAACACCCTGCCTTGAAACCAGCTGATTATGGACTGGAACCTGTACAAACTGGGCTAAGTAAATCTTTCCTCCTTTAACTTTGAGTGTCAGGTATTTTGTCTCAGTAACAAGAGAAGTGACCAAGATATTTAAATATAAAAATTCAAAGTTGAAAATTATATTTGCTCAGTATTTTATGAGTTTTTGTTTTTGTTGTTGTCTCTGTGCTCATTACTGCTTAAGAAAGTAAGGATATTCTGATTGTCAGTTCTTTAAATACGTCCTTTTTTCTTTCTGGTGGTTATCTTCTCTTTGTCGCTGATGTTTTTATAATTCACAATGGTGGTCTTTAAGTTCTTATTAGATAAGAACTTCATAAACATTAGATGTGTTGGGAATTCAATGAACCCTTCCAGTTTGAGAATTCATGTTGCAAAATTCTAGTGTACTTTCTTGTGTTATTCTTCAACCATTTCTTCTTTCTTATGAAAACATCCTTTAATTTCCTGATTTCTTTATTTCATTTCTTTCCATTTGTGTTCTATTTTCTGAGATAGTTAACTCTACTTCCCAAACATTCTCTTCAATTTTAAGCTTTTATTATCATGTTTAATTTCCAAGAGATGTTTACTGTACTATGAGTGTTCTTCTTTATATAATATCTTTCTTATAATGAATACAGCTTTCTGAATGCATTAATACATGTTAATCATTGCTATGATTGCT